CCACTCTCTTCAAGTACTCGGCTCACTCTGGCTTTCTCTCAGCAGAGCACCCACCCTTGCCTCCCAGCCTACCTAGAAAGCCAAGCTACCAGGCCAGACTTCTTCCCATCCTCCCTCCCAGTCAAACTCACCTGCAGCTGCCCCATGTCCTTGCCAGCTGCCCTGTGGCCTTAAAGTAGAGGCAGCCCTTCTCTGGTGTACAATTTGGGGTCGGGGGACCCTCCTTGGACTTCTGGCTCCCTTTGAGTGACTGGGACCCTCTCTTGGCCATTCCCAGACTCACCTGTGGCTTTCAGGCTTCCCCTTCTCTTGACTTCTTCCCTATAAATGTGCCTGCGTAGTCGCGGAGCAGTGGAAGGTCATGGTTTGGAGTCAAGGTTCCAGTCACATATCAACTGCACAACAGCTCCCAGCCCCCGGCTACTGAAACCGCTCTCGCAAAGGCCAGCATGATTTCCTCTCCAGCCCACTGTGGCTGCCGGCCATCTCCTTCCTGACGCCTTTTCCCCTACCTTTGAGGCACATCTCCTGGCTGTCCTCCCACCTGTGTGAGGGCATCTCTGCCTCCGTGGCTGGCTCCTCTTCTGCTGATCCTTAAGCCCAGGCCTTGTCTACTCCTGGCCAATGGCCCCTCACTCCTGATGAATGTGCCTGGGCAGCCCTGTTCCCACCTGTGACTTCCACACCCTGCAGATACTGTCGACTCTCAACACTGCCTCTGGCCCAGATCTTTCTCCTGAACTCCAGACCCACTCACCTTTCACTGGACCCTCCAGCCTGCTTCTCCTCACCCCACTGTCACTCAGTTGCCCAGGCCAGAACACAGGAATCATCTGATGCTTCCCCTTCCCCCAGCCCGCAGCAACCAGGTTCCTGGTACCAGGTTCCTGGTAGCTCTTTCTCACATTTGACACCTCTTTCCATCCCCACTTGCCACTGGCCCAGTGCAGCCCTTATCATCTCTCCAGGATGACTGCATTAACCTCCTTCCTGAGCTCTCAGACTACACTACATATCTGTGCCCTTCCACACCACTCTCCTTTCCACTCACTGTCAGAGAGATCCTTCCAAAATGCAAAGCTCATCACGTTACTCCTCTGCTCAAAAGCTTTCAATGGCTCCCCATTGCCTCAGAATCAGGTCTGAATACCCATGTTTAACATGCAAGGAAGCCTCCCCTCCCACTGCCCACCCTGCACCCTTTACTCCAAACAGACCAGACATAGTTCCCCAGAACGAGCCCTTTGCTATGGAGTTCAGATGCCTCTCCTTTTTGTCTCTCAAGACTTTGCTCAAGTGCAGTTCTTCTGTGAAGCCTGCCCTGATTTCCCTCTCCAGCAGAATCAGGGCAAGCTTCTTAGAGAAGCAGGACTTGAGCAAAGCCAGGGGCTGTTGTAGCCTCTGCCTCCTCAATGCCTCCACTGTTCCAGCAGACTTCCATCCCTGGCTGGCATAGAGGAGTCATTCAATAAACGTTCAGGGGATGACAGGGCATGACTGTGGGGGCAGCGTGGGCACTGTTCCTCCCTGGCACAGAAGGTTCCCTGGCTGGAGGCTGTCCCAGGGTAGTTCAAGGGCACTTGTCTGCTTCCCTCACCTCAAGCAGGGCCAGTAGAGGGCTTGGTGGACAGGCACTTACCAGTCCTTTCATCTGACCTAGCCTCAGTTTCTGCCCTTGTTAAATGGGCGCCAAGTGGCAGTAACGCTGACCTGAGAGCTGCTGATGAGGCCAGTGAAAGGACTGTGAACACTGCCATGTTTATTGCACCCTAAGCAGTTGCTTAACCTCAAGATCCTCATTTATACAATGGGGATGATGCTAATAATGCCCTCCTCCCTGTGTGTAGTTAGGAGTAAATGTGCTGATACCTAGGAGAGGGTCTCCGAGTCAGAAAATGTGAATGATTAGGATTGTAACTTCCCCGCCCCCTGCTGTGAGACAGCTGTGGGGACGGGGCTGCAAGGCCGCTCCAAGACAGGCACCTCAGCACCTGCCCTGGGCCCTGGAGCCTGAAAGCGCTAAGTGCAGCAGCAGCCCTTGTCCCCAGCTAGCCCAGGGCTGAGTCTCCTGACCTCTGCTGGGCCTGGGACAAGGTCCTTTACCTCCTGAGGCCAGGTGGGCATTGACCAGGGCTTGCTCCAGGCCTGGTTTCCTGTCCTAGACAGCACCTGCCCAGACCCAGCCAGCACTGGGCTCTAGTGCCAAGCTTTAAGCTCACTCATGCTCAAAAACCTTTTGCCGAGGTTCCATATCTGGCTGCCTAGGGCTGCCTGTCAATGCAGCTCTGACTGAGGTCCTACCAGAGATTGGGGAAAGTAAGGGGGGTGAAGGGGAGGGGAAGGAGGAAGGTACCGGGAGAGAAGAGGAGGGAGAACACAAACTGATGGGGAGGGAATTCAAGGTGGCTTCCCGTGCCTCATCTCACCGATCCCCACAAAACCTGGAAAGGTCAGGAGGTCTGATGTCCTCATCCACACGTGACGGAGGAGGAAGCTGAGGCCAAGAGGAGCAGAGAGACGTGGTCCTCCCAGCCGTCCTTCCTCCTGTCCACCCATCTCAACAACCAGCCCCCTCTGTCCGCTCTCCACCTCTCCTCCGGGTCCTCTTCTATCTCTCCCCATATCACCTTGTTCACCTCCCAGCTGGTGAGAACTGGTAGCCCCTGGGGAGAGGAATAGGGGGAGAAAAGGGAAGGGAGCCTCCCACAGGAGAATCCAGACTCTCCCCAGGTTCGTCTTTAGGTGCAGCAGAGGTGACGGGGCCTGTGTGTGCTTGTGTTGGACGGCGCGCAGGTGTGCCTCTGAGAACTGGTGGAGCCAGGCTCATAGGTGTGGGCCTGCGGTGGCCCTGTGAGCGAATGCTGGAGGAGGGCTGATGTGGCTTTGCACACTCGAGTGAGCGTGCAGAGGGAAGGAGATGCACACACCCAGAAGATGCAGCCCTCAGGCACGACTGAAGGTCAGTGTGTGGCCGCGAGCCCCGGTCTGTGTGGGGTGTGTGCGTGCGCGCGTGTGCACGGGACTTTGTGAGCCAGCAGACCTGTCGCGCCTGCAAGATCCGACACGCAGACACAGCGACCCCTGCTGGCCACACCGCCCCAACCACCGCACTTGTCAGCCCCAAGCCCCTAGCTGGACACTTGCTCGAGGGCCAGGCGAGGCAACCTGCAGGAAGCTCAGGGCCGGTAGCCCCCTCTGACTGGATGCCTCGCCCACCCCCGCGGGTCTGTCTCCCAAGGGTCCACTGTCCACCCTGCCGTGATCCCCATTGGGCTGGTGGAAGAGCCCAGCCTCCTGGTCATGGCTGTGTCTGTACCTGAGTCTCCTGAAGACTGAGCGGGGAAGGGCCCCCCTCTCTTCTGCGCCTCACCCGGATAGTGGGGCGGGGGTGCATTGGGATAGGCTGCCTCAAGGTGGCTCCAGGGGACTCAAGCATGAGGGACTCCCTGTGTCCTCCACCCCACCCCCATCTGGCTAGAACCCAGACCCAGGACTTGTGGACGAGGAAGCGCCACCCTGTGGATTCGGTGGACGACGTCTCCCCCTACTGGCCAGAGCTGGCTCTTGCAGCCCGGCTCCCCCAGCCTGGGGCAGGTTGGAAGAAGTGGGAAGGGACACGGTGGGTGGGGGGCTGCTCCTTCCCTGGGCTCTCGGGGTTCTCATGCACTACCACGTGGTGTTTACTGTAAGCCTATGGGGCGGGCATGAGTGGCTGACCTCTCACTTGTAGATGCTTAGACTTTAAGTGTGGAGGAGGCTGGGTGTCTGCCGCTCCTCACCCCAGCGCCTGGGACTGCCTCTCGATGGCCAAGATCTACGGTTTCCCCCATCCCTTCTCAGTCCATCTCCTGGCCCCGCTGGACAGGTGCTTAGGTCCAGACACCCCCAGGAGGGCAGAAGTATGTGGCTGGGCCCCCAGACTAGGCAGGTACGTGTGGGTGTCTATTCACACCACTTTACTGAGCACTCACTCCAAGGCGCCTGACCGTTTGTACAAGCGTTTTACCTCCAGGCATGGTCTCATTCTCATTTTCTCCTCACGACAGCACGTGAGGTCGGGAAAAGCACCCCTGTTTTGCAGAGAAGGTCCTTAAAGCTCAGAGAGCTTATTTTGCCCCAAGTTCCGCGGCCAGATTGGAATTCGGGTAGTTACTGACTCCGGGCTGGGCTCTGTGCGGAGCTGTTCACTGCATGACCTCCGCCTTTTCCTCACAGAAAGCTGACCGGTCCCGGGCATCCCAAGCCCTCATCCAGTCCCCACAACTATCTTGTGAGGAAAGTGATATTTTATCCCCATTTTACAGATGAAGAGATGGAGGCTCTGAGAGTTTAAGGAGATTACCCAAGGAGTGTCAGTGACAGTGGGACAACAGCAGGCTAGGGCAGAGCTCAGGCCCAGAGGAGAGGACGGTGGGGACACTGGTGGGCCGAGGCATGAGAGAGAAGCCCTGGAAAAGGGGGCTGGGCCACATGTGGCTTTTGGGGGGATCGGGGAGCTGCTCCCTCTGGGCACAGGCTCCCAGGAGGGCACCTTTTTGAAACGTCAAGGTGCAGAGAAAGGAGCCCAGGGCTGTGATGGAACCTGGCTGGTCACCCCCTTGCCATCTCGAGGGGCTGCGGTTGGCTCACTCCTCCTCCACCCTGCCTGTCACACCCTGGCACTCCCCTCAAGTGCCAGCCAAACCCTCCTCAAGTGGCAGGGACTTGACATGGCTGAGGGGGAGGGGTGGAGGGTGACTGCAGTGAGGACCCCTCCTTCCTGGCCTCTAGCTCTATTTTGATATTCGGTCTTCTCTCTCTCGGTCTCTCCCTGCTCTGTTCCCATCTCTCTGATTCTCTGGGCCTCCCATGGCCTCAGCCTCCCTTTCTCCCCACAGAGCACTTGTCCTGGGGTCCCCTGGTACCCCATGGAGATCGTGGTGGAGGATGTGGGATGACAAAGAGGAGAAGCAATGGGCCAGAGTGTCTCAAGGCACTCTGGGGACAGACAGAGGCGGAACGTGAGTATCAGAGATTTATTGGGTAGCCCCCACTCCAAACACCAGCAGCCCCACGCATGCATCCTCACTAGAAATAAATAAGGCAGCATTCAATGAACCAGTCTGTCTTCTTCCTAAGGAGCTCTGAGGAGGGTCTGCCGCTGCCCACCTAGGGGCTGGGATCCCTTTGGCTCTTGAGCGGGGGTGGGGGATGCAGGCTGCAGGCTCACTCTTTTCTAACTTGGCCCTTGCAGCCTGTGAGCTTGGCACTGTGTTCACAATCTCTGAGGTCTGTCCCAGAGAGACCCATCCCCAGCAGACCCTAGCCTCTGGCCCCTACCCCAGGAGTTCCACCATAGGTTCCTTCTCCCCTCTCTAACTGTGTAGCCAGGGGGACCAGCACCTCCTCCTCAGTCAAGAGGACCGGTTGTGCAAAAAGGAAGCTTGTGTTAGGTACTTTTTCTTTTTTCCCCCTTGGCTCAGGGGCTGAGGAGCTGGCCCCTGCCTGACACTGGTCAGCGGGCAGTCAGCTCCATGGTCTTCTTCCGCTCCTCCCGCTGCTCCTCCCAGTCCTCGTCAGGCTCATACGTGCCTTTGATGATGTCCACACGCTCACTCAGGCTCAGGGAGTTGGGGAAGAGCAGGTAGAAGTAGAGGATGGCAGCGAGGACCGCCCCCACGATGGGCCCTACCCAGAAGACCTGGTGGAGACAGGGCAGGAGTCAGGGGGTTGAGCCCCAGACCTCAAAGACCAGATGCCCCCCACCCCACAGAGGACAGACCCATGGACCCTGAGAGGGGACAGACACACAGACTTTCAGACCTTCAGGAAGAAAGACTTCCTCCCACCACGGGGACGGATATACTGACACACCACTCCCAGGGAAAGAGGCATGGACCACAGACACCCAGACCCTCAAAGAAGGCAAACAGATTCCCAGAGGGACAGGCCCCCTCCAACCACACCTGAAAGAGAAACAAATAAACCTTCAGAGGGGACACGTGGGTCCTCAGAGAGATGAACAGAGCACCTCTCCCCTCCACATAGGGATAGAAACAGACCCTGGAGAGAGTGACCATGAGCTCTCAAAGGAGGGGGCAGACAGACTGTCCACAGGGACAGACCCACAGGAAGACTCTCCCAACCCCCTCAACAGGGACAGATAAATAAAACATCAGAGAGGACCAGCACACAGACACCCAGAGCGACAGACACCAAATCCTCAAGGGAATTGACACAGAGCCCCCCTGCACCTCCAGCCTCTTCCCTAAGGGGACAGATACTTATACTCCCTGTCCCCAGGGGTTCAGGCCATACAAAGCCATCTCTGCCCCTGTGGCTGAATCCCATCCTCTTTCTCTCTCAGCCACCGCTCCCTGGCCCACCCCCAAGCTCTGGGCCCACAGAATCCAGAAGATTCTGTGGTGAGCTCTGAGCTGCCACTGCTGGGTCTCCAGGCCCTCATCTCCAGGGAGCCAGGGGAGGGGACAGACTCACCCAGTGAGCGGGGCTGAACCGATTCATGACCACTGCAGGGCCAAAAGAACGTGCTGGGTTCATGGAGCAGCCAGTGAAGTAGATCTGGATAGAGACAGGGCGGTGGAGAGAAAGGCAACATCCCAGTCCACTCCCACAGAACCTGGACTCTCCCGAGGTTACACTGCAGTCCAGTGGCTCAGCCAGGTCTCAAACTCAGGTCTCCTGATTGCTGGGCTGGCAACCCCTCCCTCCAAGGATCCCAGCTGCCCGGTTAACCATGGACCCTTAACTATGCCCTCTTCTCTGCTCTGAGGTTGGGTTTGATTCCTGTCCCATCCCACCTCCTACTTACTCCCATCTTTCCTCAGCCCAGAGGTTCTGGGGGGATCAATTCTGGGGCCCAGTAGGGCCAGAGTCCAGCAGCCCTAAATCCAGGCCTTAAACTCTGCTGGACTCATCAATCTGAAGTGGGCTCCGCTCTGGGGCTCCATTATTTGCCTTGAGTGCCCGCCCCACCCTCACCACAGCCCAGTGTCAGTACTGCTCACCCCGACAAGGTGGCCCAGGGTGACAGACAGGCCAATGGACAGGGCTGGGGAGCCCACAGGGCTGGTGCGACGGGAGTCAGTGGAGGCGAAGATGCAGAGTGCCAGCTGGAAGGTCAGAATCAGCTCCACCACCATGGCCTGGCCCTGCGTTGTGTTGTTGTTGAGCTGCAAGGGGATGGCGGGTTAGGACCCTGGCCACCTTCTGGCAGTATAGCCAGGGGCTCTGGGAGCAGGGCTTTTGGCATTCAGGGACACTTAGAGCAGCTTGACACCTGGAAGCCAAGCCCCGTGGACATCACCCCAGCGAAATCATTTGTTAAAGACACTACATTTCACAGTTTGCACAGGCTTGAAGCTCAGGCCTGTAGCCAAAGGGCAGAGTGTCAGGGGAGCTTTTCCTGGACATGGTCCTATCAATGGCTCTGCCCAACCCCCAGCCCCCATAAGCTGGCATTTACCCTCCATCCTGTGGGCAGCTGCCCAGTTTGCCTGCTTCACACCCCATCCCCGCCTCCTGCCCGTGTCTGGCCCCATGCCAGTGCCAACCTTAAACCCGTCTCTCCAGTGCGGCTGACTCACGGCTTGACAATGGCCGAGCAAATCCTTCTCTGTGTTTGATTAATGAACCCAGTTTGCATGGGGTTGGGGGCTGACTCTGGGGCTGCAGGAGGTGGGAGGGAGGCAGGGATGTGGGGTTGCGGGGAGGAGCACAGGTTGGGGAAAGCGGAAACCAATACTCAACGGAGACTGCTCTGCACTGGCACCACGTTAGGGGGTTCCTATCTATGGTTTCTAAATGTGAGCCCCTTGACACCTGCTGTGGCAGGCACTACCATCCCCATGGAGGGGCTGAGAACAATGAAGCACAGACAGGCCAGGGTCACCCAAAGCTGGGATGACAGCCCGCTTCTCTCTGGTGGTTCTACTCAAACGCTCCCCTGAGGAGATGGGAGAGGTGAGGGGCCCAGGAGGAAGGTGGGGCTCAAAGGTGAGACAGGAGGCGGCAGAAGTTTCTGGCAGGAAAGGAGGGGCAGCAGGCATTGGAGAGAGACCAGGGTGGGCCAGCATGTGGTGAGGGGCAGAGGAGGTGGGCAGGAAGGGGGTGCACATCAGCCTGGAGAGTCGCCTTCCTGGCCTCTGGAGGCTCTTGCCTTCCTGGTGAAGGGTGTGGGCCGGACCACTCTATGACACCCCTTTTTCCAGGTGAGGTAAGAGGCCTGGTCCTGAGCCCACCCCAGGGTCGCGACTCCCACCCCCCCAGGGCACTCACCGCGTTGACGGCCAGATTGCCCCGGGCATTGAGCGGTGCCACACCGTAGAGGATGCCGGCCCCGGCAATGGCGCCCACCAGCTGGGCCGCCACGTAGAAGAAAGCCCGGAGCAGCGAGATCTGGTTGCCCACCAAGAGGGCCAGGGTGATGGCAGGGTTGATGTGGCCGCCGCTCACGGGTCCCAGGGCCTGGGCCAGCGTGCCTATGGCCAGGCCAAAGGCCAGCGCGATCTGCAGGATGGTGGGCAGCGCCGACGGCCACTTGAGGGCCGAGCCCAGGCCGAAGAAGACGAAGATGAGGGTGGCCAAGAACTCGGCGAACACAGCCTTGAGGAAGGCCACGGAGCACACCTC